GCCACGGGGCCGGCCCCTACAGTAGTTATTAAATAATGCACTTTAAAATCATCATTTTATTTTTTCCCAGTATCAACTCTGTCAGATAAGTTTTGTTAACCCAATTTTTTATAGATACAGAAAACTGACATCTAGAAAAGTCAACTAACTACCAAAGTCACACACCTGGGAGCTGCACAATAGGTCATTTTGACTTCAAAATACATGTTTTGAATCACTATATTATACTATGTTATATTTCCCAATACTCAGTGTAATTTTTCTGTCGCTTTAGAGCTTGACCAGGCAGGAATTCTGGCAGCTGCTCCGGCAGAACTACGGTACTGAGCTGGGCTTAAATGCTGAAGAGATGGAGAACTTGTCCCTGTCGATGGACGATAATCTGCAGCCAAGGTACAGCAAAATGTTTTGAAATGTCAAGTTTTATTAATCATTAATCAAAGCAGAATTATTTTAGACTTTACTAATTCAGAATTTCTGTTAATGTACCCTTGGGTAAAATTTGCCTGTTTTTTTCTCTAGTGGAATGCAGTGAAAGGTGAGGACAGTGAATAGTTTGCTAAATTGGTAAGCAAATAAAGGACATTTAAGGAAATGTTAACTTTGTAACTCTGTCACCTAGGATTTGCTTAAAATGTGGTTTTATTTTTATTTTTTTTAAGAACTGATGATCCTTTTTTTTCTGAGAAAGATTGGCCCTGAGCTAACATCAGTTGCCAATCTTCCTCTTTTTCTTTTTTCTCCCCAAAGCCCCAGTACATAGTTGTATATCCTAGTTGTAGGTCCTTCTAGTTCTTCTATGTGGGATGTCACCTCAGCATGGCTTCATGAGCGGTGAGTAGGTCTGCGCACAGGATTCAAACCAGCGAACCCCAGGCTGCTGAAGTGGAACGTGCGAACGTAACCGCTACGCCGCAGGGCTGGCCCCTAAAGCGTGGTTTTACTAAACCTTTTTATTAAGGATCTGGAGAAGTACCTAGTAAAATCTCTATGCTTATAGATAAGAATAAAGTAAATTAGCTGGTAGGTATTTTGAGGGATACAAAGATAATGTGACTTTTCTTCAGGGATACCCTAGCATAGTGCTTGGCATGTGGTTGGCACTCCATAAATATTGAATGCATTAATGAAAGGAGCTTATAGTACTATGGGGAATGCAAATAATTATGATACAAGGTTGAAAACGATAAGGGCCGAAAGGAGCATGAGATAATGTGATAAAGACATTCAGAGTAGAGAGAGATTATTTTTGACTGATAGGAATTCATTTGGAAGAGTGAACCTGTTTTTATTAACGTGTACAAGTAAAAGTGCATTTTGTCCAATGGTAGCGGAGGTCATAGCAATAAAAACTAAGGATAATACATTAAAATTCTACAGCAAACATTATGCTGAGTGAAAGAAGCCAGTCACAAAAGACCACATATTGTATGATTCCATTTATATGAAGTGGAGTCCAGAATCAGTAAATGCATAGAGACAGAAAGTAGATTAGTAGTTGCCGGGAACTAGGAGGAAGGGAGAATGGGGAATGATTGCTAATGGGTATGGGGTTTCTTTTTGGGGTGATGAAAATGTTCTAAAATTAGATAGTGGGGATGGCGGCACAACCCCATAAACCACTGTATCATACACTTTAAATGGGATGAATTTCATGGTATGTGAATTATATCTTAATAAAACAGTTATTAAAACATTCTATAGCAAATAAATCTTAAAATGTCAGTCTTTCGAAAGTCTCAATGTGTGTACAAAAGTTTTACTGTAAGTCAGTCTTCTAGTTAGCCTGATTCTATTTGTATTGTTTCAGTTCAGCATCAATATTTTACAGTTTTTTTTACAGGGTCGTACATGCATATTTGATTAGTTTTCTGTAAAGTTAAAAATTTTCAGTGTACTGCTCTTCTTGTAAAGTTTACAGGCCTCTCAGGTACTGGAGTTGGGTAGAAAAACAATTGATAGATACTAAGAGCCTTGGATAGTGGGAAAGAAGATCCATATTCTAGTCTGGACTTTGCCAGCAAGTAGCTGAGCAACCTCAAGCAAATTTCTTAGCCTTTCTCAGTTTACTGAAAATCCTCAGTTTACTCATCTGTGAAATGGGGCAGTTACAGTAGGTGATCGCCAAGGTCCCTGCCAACTCAAAAAGTTTCTAGTCTTTGAAGAAGGAAAGAGTAGATATTTGTGACCAGCTGCTTTATCCACTCTAACGTCCAGCTTTTTGAAGTCACCAGAGAAGCTGCTCTTCTCTTCTGGTGATTGAGTGCCGTCTAAGAAGAGCTGAGGCGGGATCCGCGTTCCCTCCTGCTCCTTGGCCCGTTCTTCCCGCCTCTGAAAGCAGCACGTCTGTCTGGAACCTCTCTTTCCTCAGCTCTGCCATCTTCTTGCTCTTCACTTTCAATCTCGCCTTCACTCTCCCTCCTCATTTCTTCTCTGTTTCTCCACAGCTCACCTCCGTCCTTAAAATCCTCACGTGCAGACACTCAGCTTGTGGGCGAGTCTCCAGGAGCCATGTTTCTAGTTTGGTCCCCTCAGAGCCCTGCCATTCTGCCTGGCATGGAGTGACTTGGTCGTGGACCTCAGTCTCATCTGGGGGGAGTAGAACAGGGCTGAAAAGTCCTGTAGCTTTTCTATTCCTTCCTCAGGATAATGTGGCTTAAGGTGCAGGCTGCTGCTTCATTTTAGGAGAGCTTGAAGTCTACACGTAGCAGTGATTACATGGGGATAATAATTGCCCAATAAGGTCGAGCACTGGAAATTAGATCAGTTGTGCTCCTTTTATAAGACTTTCCTTTCTTTTTTCTTTTTTTTTTTTTTTT